CTTTTTTGTGCTGCCGTGCCCCTGATCGGGTCTTTGCCTTCCCTTGCACGAGAGCTGCTGAGGTCGCATCGCTCCGCTCTGCACCCGTTCTGCAGAGCGACCCCAGGAGCTGGGGAGGACGAACGGGACCATGAGGCTGGGTGCCAAATGAGCTCGCTGGTTCCTCACCTGCTTCTGCAAAGGCAGCCGAAGTACCCGTGTGCTCCGAGGCCACCCCAGGGAACCACCTGAGCCAGCAGAGCTCCGCAGAGCTCCCACACGCTTTGCCCGTGCCCACAAAGCATCAGCAGAAAAGAGGTGCCAAGGGGGAACCCCAGACTAACGCTGCCTGGCCATCTCCAGGAGCTTTGGGAAGGTCGGCGTGCACAAACATCTCAAAAAGCCTTCCCACGAACAGCCAGCAGCCGCTGGGAAACGCGAGGCGGGTTTGGGAACAGCACCGTGACTCTCGCAACACCAACTGGGGACACTGCTGTCCACGTCCCACAGCACACAGCACCAGGCTGCCCTGAAACAACGTACCTGGGAGCAGAAATACCATCCTCTTTACATAAGGCTTGGGATAAAGGGGACAAAGAGGCTTAGTGCCTTACAGCTGGCACCAGGCATTGCATCAGCGCCCCGAGGCCTTAATCCGAATCTGAGCGCGGCCGCGTGGGAACGTAGCGAGGCTCCAGCCCACGGGGTCAACAGCAACAGGGCGAGTGAACAGAGGAGAAGCGTGCCCGGGAAACACCAAGGCAGTCAGTGCCAGAGACCACTGCCCTCGCCGGGTGGCTGAGCAGCCCCAGGGCAGCTCCCGGCCTTTGTCACGGCCCGCGGTTACTGGCTGGGCACATGGAATCGATCCACGTGCGCAGGGATGCCCGCGCAGAAGCACCAGATCCACGAGGCAGCTCCTGGTGTTCTTTAACTCATGCAAAAAGGCGAGGAATGTAAAAAAATACTGCAAACATAAACCTAGAGGCAGATTTAAATTCAACATTGCCCAGTTCTCAAAGAGAACAAACCTGACCGACCTTGTTGTACATCACCCAGACGCACAAGCTGTTAGGTAGCTTCGACGTGGCTTGAGCATCCCCCCGCTGCCTTCCCGCCTCGTGAGCCATTTCTTCCCGCAAACGCTTCCAGAGAGCCAAAGGACTTCAGAGGAGAAGCTCTGGTGGCCGCAGGGCTGCGACCCGGGGTCACAGCCGCATGGCTGCTCGCGCTGCGGTTCCTGCAAGGGGCCTTTGCGACCTCGCCACTGCACGGAGGGAGAAATTATCCACCCTTCCCACCCAGCCCACGGCGCCAGGCTGCAGGTAGCTGAGCGTCCCTTACGCCAGCTTCTCCCTCAGAGCCAGGCTCTGCAAAAAATAATGTTGCCACTCTGCAGGCGCGCAGAGGACGCGGTAACGTGCGCCGAGGCACCTCCACGCACAGCCCGGCACCTCCAGCTAACGAGCAGCCGAATGGCGACGCGCAAAGCGCACAGGCCCTCCGCTGGAAATGAAGTCCAAGCATGAAAAAAAAAAAAAAAAAAAAGCCCCAGCGCCCCGGTCATACTCAATTACAGGTCATTACAACTTGCTTGATAATTAATTTCCTCTGGTGGCTCTAAACTGGCTCGGGGCCCTCGTCCTGAACGCGAGGCCGGTTTAGGTAAAACATTAAATCCTCGTTCTTTTGCACCAGCGAGATGGCCACGCTCCTGGCGCCGTGCACATCGCCCTTCCTCGGCGAGCTCTACCCCGCGGGGAGAGGAGAAAACGCTGGTGGATTAAAGGGGGGGGAAAAAGAACGAGGATTTCTGTTTTCGAGACCAAAACAGCCTCAGAACGATAAATTATAAATTATTCCGTTCAAAAGCTAATCAATAAAATAAGCTGACTGGATTTTTCGAGCGCTGTGCAGGGCTGTGTACTGCCAACAAAGAGCTAGAAATGTGCAGCATAATCCGATGCCGGAGTCATCACACAAAGCGTGGAAATAGGTTTTCCTGAGGATGTCCAGGCGAGGAAGGCTCGCACACCAGCATCGGCCCTGCTCTCAAAGTCAGCCCCGACACCGGCATCCTTATTCTTCTGGAGGGGGGGAGAAAAAAAAGGGCCCGCGAGCTCTTGGCCATACGTCACACAAAAAAATTCGTCTAACACCTCCTCCGAGGGAAAGGGCCTACCCAGAACGGGGGGGAAGGGGGGAAAAAAAAAAAGGAAAAAAAAAAAAAAAAAAAAAGAGGCCTGCTGGGAGGTGGAGGGGAGCCAAGTCTGACAGACAAGACCTGAACCTGTGACCTTCCCTGTGTACACAATGGGCGGGAGGGAGGGAGCGCTTTATCTCAGGAGCGCCCGTTCTCACCCCTCGGCTGCACCCGGAGAAAACCGGAGCCGTTCGTGGCCACCGGAGCCATTTGTGGCCACCGGAGCTGCTCGTGGCCACCGTGCCCAGGCCGGCAGCTTTGGCACTTACCGCAGCCACGAGCGTCCCGGGGGGCTCGGGATGGGGCTGTGAGGAGCACAGGCGGCGGCTCCAGCACGGGGTGCTTGGGGTGCTCGGGGTGCCCTCGATTCCAGGCAGCGGAGGAGCCCCGTGCCCTCCAGCGGGTGCCCCCCCCGCGCCCCCAAACACAACTTACGCCTGGAAATCGCCTGGCAGGAGGCTCTCGCCCGCTGGTGGGGGGCACCCACGAGGTCCCTGCGGTGCCCAGGGCGCTGGGTGCGAGGGGAGCAGCCCCCCAAGAAGCCACCCCCCGGGGGGGGGGGTGGGCTCCGGGCACCCTGAGGCACAGCGGGGACGAGCAGCGACCCCACAGCACCCAGAGCCCCACGGACACGGGGGGGGGGTTCCAGGGAGGGGGGCGGCCCCTGCACACACCCCCCCCCCGGGGCCTGGGGGCACAAGGCGAGGCCCCCCCACACTGAGGGGTTTGGGGGGGGGCAACGGCCACAGAGGGGGAGGGGGGGGCGTTAGGGGGAACCGGGACCAACGGTCCGGGAGGGGGGAGGGGGCGGCCCAACGGCCACCGGGGGAGGGGAAAAGAGGGGAAAAAGGGGGAAAAAAGGGAAAAGGGGGGGGGAAGAGGGGGAAAGGGGGGGGGGGTCCCGGCCCCAACGGCCGCACCGGGGGGGGGGGGCGGGCTCGGCCCGTGACGATCCCCTCAGGGAGGGAGGGGGGGGGGTGGGGGGGGCACCGGGGGCGACGCCGTTCTCTGCCCCCCCTCCCCCTCCGGTCGGTGGCGGCACTCACCGGGCTCCAGCTGGCGTCCCGGCCGGCCCTAGGTGTCCTCCATGAGGGCCGCGGGGGGGGCTCCTGCCTGCAGCGGGCAGCTAGGGCCGGGCGGCGGGGCCCGCCATGCCGCCGCTCGGGGCAGGCCGCGCCGGTGTCCGCCTGGCGGGGCGGGGCGGGGCGGGGCGGGGCGCGCGGCCGCGGGATCGGCTCCGCTCGGCTCCGCTCGGCTCCGTTCGGCTCCGTTCGGATTCGTTCGGCTCCGCTCGGCTCCGCTCGGCCCCGCTCGGCTCCGCAGCTCGCAGCGCGCCGCCTCCGTGCCCGGCTGGCCGCAAAACGCGGAGTGGAGCCGAGCGGAGCGGAGCGGGAAGCGCCCAGAGCTGCCCCCGGCCAGGGGGGGGTTTAGGGGAGGGTTTGGGGGCGCGGTGGGCTGGGGGGTGGCTCCCAAGCCTGGTGGTGCAGCTGAGAGTCGAGGGGGGGTGTGGGGCAGGTGCACAGAGGTAATTCTCGGTCTGAAGCTGCTCACAGGAGCCGTGGGGGCCGTTTGGCCCCAACCCCAGCACCCCAAAAGAGGGGAACCCCAATGGCACCCATGGGGACCCCTGGCAGGGCAGGGGGGCACCAATGGGACGGGCACTTGGGGCACATCCACCAGCTCCAGCCCCCACACATGGCAGAGGGCACCTCCTGGCAGCGGGCAGCTCCCTTGGGGCAGGTTGCGGGGCTCCAGGAGGGTCCCCAAGGAGCAGGAGGAAGGGGCGGCAGCGCTTTGTGGGGGCTGCGGCCACACCGAAACCCCCCAGGGACTTGGGGACACCGAGGGCACGGTGGGGCCGAGCCTGGAGCGAGGTGGCACCAGGGAGCACAGAGGTGTGATGAGCAGGGGCAGGTCGATGCAGGGAGCTGCTGAATGTGAAGGATTAAGGAAAGGGGGAAATGGATCTTGCTCGCCAGGCACAGCGGGTTTGTAACTCGCAGCAGGAGCAGCTTCTGCAGGGAGGCTGCTGCTCCAGCACAAACCAGGAGAGAGAATGCACGGCCCAAAGGCACCATGCACCAACCCTCGGGGCAGGTGGGACCAGGGCCCACCTCCCACCCCCGACCCCATAGATGTGCTGTGGGGCTGCAGGGTGCAGGCATCACAGCTGCTGGGAGCCATCCCACGAGCCCCACGTGTTTTTTCGGCCCAGCAGAAGGCATCGAGCACTGCAAGCCCTGCCGAGCACCCGGGAGCAGTCACGGTGTGCCCTCCTGCGAGGCCAGCACACGTCCCAGCCCAGGGGAAAGGCACGAGCTGCCTCTTTGCTTTGGAGGGGGACGCTGCCATGGCTGGGACAGAGCCAGCTCCGAGGGGCTGGGACGGTGGCTGGAGGCCGTGCTGCCCACAGGCTCCCTGGGATCAGTCGTGGGGTCCCCACGGGGGACAGACACCAGCACCCAAATGTGTCACCGCATCAGCTCCGTCTCCCACCCACCCCTTTCCGTGGCGCTGGGCCCTGGGCAGGGAAAGAGCTTGGTGAAAACACTTCTTTTAATGTTTTCCGAGTACAACACGGAGCGATACCCAACGGTGACATCGCAGCCTCCTTCCCGCGAGCACCTGCTCCAGAGGCGAGGGCCGCGGCAGCACCCGCGGGTGGCGGTCCCGGTGGCAGTGCCCGCGTGGGAAGGTGGCAGCTCACAGCACTGCTTTCTGCTTCATCAACCCCTTCTTCGCTCCCTGATGGATCTTGGAATCCAGCTTCCCTGTAAAGAGAGGGGTGGGGGGGAAAGGGAAAAAAAAAAAACAACACAACCCTCATCAGTCTTTATTTTTAAATGCTATTTGCATTGCAAATCAGCTGGAGGCAGCGAGGTCTCCTAGTTAGTGTGTTGCTGTCACATTTAATTATCGTGCTTGAGGAGCCCGGCGTTTCCAGCCGCCATGCCTTCCCTCCGCAGGCGCGACACGGGAGCCAGGGGGGGCTCCAGCGAGGAGGAGAGCAAATTAACATCCAGGAGGAAAGCGATCACTTTGCTCGCCCCCAGGATGCGTGTCAACACGTTCGAAGGAAGCCCGCAGAGAGCGGGGACAAGCAGCGTGGCAGGGATGCAGCACAGCGAGCGGGCGGGGAGGGTCCCCCTCGCCCTGCCCAGACCCAAATTCTCCAAAGCAAGGAGAATTAGGAGAAGCTCCAGCCCAGCTACAGCACAGCCAGGGGAGCTCCCGGGGATGAGACGGCCCAGGCTCCAAACCTTTGGGCGCGGCTCCTAAACCTGCTGGTAAATGCCAGCGTGCCACGAGAAGCAGAAACTTGGCCAGAGACAAGGGCTCTCATCCAGAGAGCGTCGCCTTCTCATCACGCTGAGAAAACTTCTCGTTTTAGCTCACAGAAGGGCCTGACAGCGCTTTTTTTCCAGGAGAGGCAGATGACAAAGCCACTTTGCTCGTGGTTGTCCTAATGGGATCTCACCCCGGCCTCCCTGAAACTGCCTCCTTCCTTCAGCTTGAGTCATGGGTCAGCCTTGCTCCTCTCTGAATACAGAATCCATAAATGTGCAAAAAAATATATAAAAAAAAAAACAAACACGAGTGAGCACTTGCAATTAACTGCGCCATCGCTCCGCAAATGCCTACACCAGGCTATGGCTGTGGTTGAAATTGGTTGCAGGAAGCAGGTGCTGCCAATACCTCGGTGCGGCAGCTCCCAGGACACCGCAGGGTGTCTGCAAAGCTCCCGTGTGCTGCTGCTGCCATCAGAAATAAACAGCAAAAGACCAGGCCCCCAGCAGGGCTGTGCGGATGCTGCACGTCAGCCCTCCGAGTCACCAAACCGTGGGGTTTTGGCAGGAGAAAGGTGGCGAGTTGGTGCTCGCTCCCCGCTCTGGTCTCCCAGCGCCAAAGCTCTGTCACGTCCAGAGCTGTTAGCTCCGTACTTAGCATGCCTGCCTGCTCCTCCCGGGTCCCCGAAGTGATCAGTAGGCTCCTCTGCTCTATCAGCTGGCAAAGATAAAACGTCACGTGGGTAACCTTTAAGAAAAGGCTAAAAATAAGGCAACGGCCCCAGGGTCCCCTTCTCTTTCCGCTCAGTGATTTAAGGACTCTCATCTCGCAGGCAGCGCCGCGCTGTGTCCCCTCTCCCAGCCCCACTGCCACGCTCCTCCAGCCCTCGGCTGTTCAAGGCAGCTTTGGGAGCGCTGCTCCAGGGGGAGCTTTGCCCAGATTGAAGGAAATCTCCCCCGAGAGCCACGGCTGAGCTTTGTCCCCACACGCTGAGACTAAGCAGGGACATGTTTGGGGAAAGCCGTGGTCACAAATGTGACACAAACGCCGTGCCCATCCCTTCCATGCAAACAATAACCCTGGCACCGAGTCGAGCTCTGTTTCTTTCTGCCTTCCCCAGGCTGCTAGAAACGACTAATTTGCAATGGAGAAGCATTCAGATGTCATTGCGGTGAGGTCCATGCTGTTATCTGGCAAGGAAAGCCGCTCGGGCTTGGCTTCCCAACAAGACAAACTGGCATTTTGTCACGGTTGAGCCAGGCTTCAAGGAGACCGGGGCAGCCAGCGAGCCCAGGTGGGGACGTGAGCCGGTGCAGCCGCTTCCAGCTCGGAGAGCCCCGCTTTTGACCGGCTCTCACGCGAAGCCAGCCCCTTGTAAAACAGTGTGCCACCACCAGGAAAGGTCAAAGGCTCCCCTGCTCCTTCCCCCACCCGTCACAAACACTGTCTGTGTCTCCCCGGAGGGGGACGTGCAGCTCCACGACCTCTGTGCCGCAGCTCCCGCACTCTCGTGACAGATCCCGTGGGGAGGAGGCCAGGGGAGGCACGGCCAGCAGCAGGAGCGGGCCACGCGGGCAGCCGCGAGCGCAGCCGGCTTCCTTCCAGGCTGTTAGGTTGATCCTGCTCCAAGCAGGAAACTGTCACAACACAAAGGAGACGATGTGACAGATGGGGGGGCAGGCAGCGCCCGTGCCCGGAGAGGCAGACGTGCAGGAGGGAGCCAGCCCCACGCCACGCAGCCGCTTCCCCTTCAGCCACCGCAGCTCCGCAGGGGCAGATGTGAAGGGGAAGGGGCACAGCGGCCAGAGCCTGAAAGAGTGGAGAGAAGCTGAAAATATAAATAAAAATAAAACGAAGGACACGGCAGCTGTTCCAGCGATGAGGCTGTTGTAGCGCAGCACAGACATTTCCATCCCAAATAACTCAGCACAGCCCTGACTGCTCACCGGCGCGCTGGAAAAGACCTGTCCCCGGGGGAGGACAGCGCCGCTGGCAAGATCCAAGCCCTCACATGAGCTCTGCAGCTGCAGATCACCGAGCATTGTTTGTTGCCATCGGCTGAATGCACCTCCCAGATGTTGCTACAAAAGCCAGGGAATAAACCAAATTGTTTTGCCCTTCCACCCGCTTGGTACCACTGCAGGGAAGGTACACGCCGAGCACCCGGGGAGAGAGCGAAGCCGTGGGAGAACGGTGCTCCTGCGAGTGGAGAAAGGGGAAAAAAACACCTCAGAAACAAGACAAAAACCCACACTGTGCTTCAAAAGGCCTTATTAACCAGTCCTGAGAAACCCTGCCGCTCCTGCGCCACCAGATAACTACTCCCTGAGAACCACGCTGCAAATGAGAAAGAAAACCCAGCCATCAGCTCTGCTAAACAAACAGCCAAGACTATTTCTGCTTATGCTGCTTTTAGCCTGTCAAATTAATTTTTCACATCCCCTGAAAGCATGTACGGTGCCTTCCCCAGGCTGTGTGGTGGGGAAGCTGCTAATAAGGATGGAGCTGACTGCAGACTCCCCAGCTGCTGCATCCATCCTCCATTCTTTTTACAGCAGCGGGCAGGAGGAACTGGCAGCCTGCGGAGGGCTGGTGGCTCATAAAAGGGACTAACGACGCTGGCAAGCAGAGCGCGGACAGATGCTGCGGCAGCTTCCCCGCCAGCTCTGCCAGGACATCCCAATCCTGCCGGCCCGCGGCTGGGCTGGGGCAGCGCATCCATCTGGCCCCGCAGCCCTCGTTGCTTCAGCCTCTCACCTCCTCACAGGCGATTCGGAAAGGAAGGCAAGCAGCCAGCACTGAGCACGGAGCAGCGTCACGCCCCCCTCCTCGTCTGAGGATAAAGGGAGGCTTCTGCCTCGCGTCCTGACCCAGGCTTGGAGAGCTCGTGCCAGACGCGGATCAGCTGCAGACATGCGTTTCCTCAGAGCACGTGAGCGCTCTCTGAGTCCCGAGTGCTTGCAGAGGCAGGAAGAGGCATGTATTTAGAAGGAAACAACATCTGGGGAAAGGGGAACCGAAGACAAAAATATTACAGATGTATTTGAATCATTAAACAAACACCTACAGATCAAAGAGCGCGGGGCAAAGGTTGTGAACTCATATGGCAAAGGCAAGCAGAGGTGGTGATGAGAGCAGGCAAGAAAGGCCAAGGGGGGCATCTGTGGAAACTTTACTACTTACAGATTTTGGGTTTTCCTTTGATGGGAAACTTCACAACCATCTCCTGGGGATTAGTGCAGATAAAGACAAATGGAGACCCAGACTCCTGGCTCAAATCCGGATACTGCAAAACACAGAGACACACACACAGCACAGTCAGGCGAACTGCAGCGGGCGTGAAGGGAGCTCAGCAGTGGGGAGCAGCACAAAAGGAAGCGCTTCCAGACAACCCCTTATTTCAGAGCCCAGCTATATATAGGCTGCACCAGCTCTGAGCCAGATCAAGAACTTTTAATGAAAGCAGTACGCTTGCAGGTTTGCCCTTTTCATTTTGCCTCTGCTGGGGTTCGCCCTGTGTCTGGAGCCGTGCACCAAGCAGATCCCCGCACGCTCCCTCGGCACAGACCTGCGTTTTGCTGCCTGAAGGTGTGGTTTCACACTTGGCTTACGCTGACCCAGAGCGTGGGCTGTCGCTGTGAGGCTCTGCCCTCCCAAGCTCGCCGGCTCACCGCCTACCTTGTGCTGGCTCTAACAAGCACGAGTGATCCTCAGCCTGCTGCGCTCCAGCTGACTGCAAACAGCACAGCGGCGCTTCAGCCAGAACAGCCTGGGCAGCCAGCACAACGAGGCCATGACCACCAGAAGAGCAGCAACACCTCTTCTGCTGTGACAGCCCTCCCAGCTCCAGATACAGCCCCATCCACTCCCCATGAGGCAGATCCGTGCTTGGTCCAACCACGCTGATTTGGAGAGCGCGCACCGTCCTGCTGCGGGACACAGCCCTCGAGAATCACCTGCATCTAATGGGTGAGCAACCAAGAGCAGTGGGTAGGAAACGGGGCGTTATGGTGCAGGCAACAGCTCGGCCCCGGAGCCCTAACACAGCTTGCGACGAGGCTGGCTCCTCCGGGCCAGGCACCTTGGGACAGGAGCTCACACAAAGGTCTCCTGAGAGATGTGAAAACATCAGGGAATTTTACAGGAAGAGTGTAAACAGAGCACTTCTCTCGTTAACCACAGGGAAAGGGGAAAAAAAACAACACTGGGTGAGAGAAGCGCATGGAAGTCCTGTCTGGATGCAGCTCAGCCTTGCTGGGTTAGAAGGGAAATGCAACAAAAAAATGCAAATACCAACCAGCCCTTCAGACCCTCCGTTGGTCGCAGACCTTGTGCTGCCGGGAGTGCTATCTGCCCCTCCAGGTGAGGGCAACGAAGGAGCTCCAGCCCAGGAAACGCTGCAGAAACAGGCAGGGGAAGCTGTTTCCCTTCCCCGGGAAAGCTGCCTTTTTCTCCCCTGCCTTCCTCGAGCAGATCCGCTGAGGCTGGTGTACGGGACAGGATGCCAAACCAGATGGAGCAGTGTGTCCTGGCAAATCCCCCATTTGTTACTAACAAATGACTTCTAGGCTGAGTGTTTGAAAAGCTCTCCCTCTCTCACAGATCTGCCAAGATGAGTTTGGATTTGCCCTGGAACAGCTGGGCATGGAGAGCAGAGCAGGGAGCAGCCCACTTCGCCGGCGCTGTAGCAGGGTTTGGCAGCGCTGCCGGCAGTTAGGGGAGATTTACAGAAGCCTGACACTAGGAGTGGATCAACTGGAAAGTGTTTCCAGCCCCCTCATTTTACAACAGCGTGGGCCACGCTCGCCGAGCGAGAGAGATGTACAGGCACTGAACTGCTCTGTGCAACACCCGCGCTGGGAGGGAAGGAGCTGCGCTCATCTGTGCGGCACGCAGACGCCCTGCTGCACTGAGCTGGCATTGGACAGGTTTCTTCCTTTCTTTTTTTTTTTTTTTTTTTTCTCCTCTCTCTAAGCCACGTTACTTGACTTGCTTCCATGGCTCCACGCCGATGCCAAGGATTTTCATTTCCCATCTGCAGGGAGGGAGGATCTTGGAAGGTTACAAAGCGCCAGTGTGAATATCCCCGGCCAACGCCTGGTGAGTGCGAAATGCTCGCCCGGCTTTATTGCTCTCGGTATCACACGGCCGAGCGGTCGCTCTTCAGAGCCAGGCATCTGACTGCCCCAGCAGCTCCCACAGCAGCGGGGTCTCTGCAGCTCACCCCGTCGAGCTGGGGGGACTCAGCCCCCTCCCTGGGGACAGAGGTGGTGTCCCTGTGTGACACGTGGCTCGGCCACGGCTTCTTCAGCCAGGCTGCACGCCCAGCATCAATGTGCCACGGAGGACTTGCTGCCTGCAGTGGCTTCCCAAATCCCTCCCAGGTGGAGCTGAGCAGCAGAGTGTCCCCCTCGCCCCTCACACAGGCCCCCACAGTGGGGAATAGCCTCACAACAGGCACTGAAAGCCAGGCTGCTTTCTCCGCTGAGAGATTTCATCCAAAACCAGGCTCAACCCTTCAGTTCCACAGGCTTAAAGCTCAATCCAACCCCAAGGCCAAGATGGATGCCACAGCTGCGACTTGGGTTTACGCTGCCATGCCGCAGCCTTTCATCTCCTCTCCCAGGGTATGGTTCTGTCCTCGTGCCAACGCTGCGCAGCTTCCGTGTCCTGCATTTTAAAAGCTTCAGCCCTTCCTCTGGCATCTCGCCCCCAGGAGGCAGGGAAGAGCGCCTTGGCAAGGGGCTCCAAGCTCAGGCTCCTGATTGTACCCACCCCAGAGGTCTCCTGCCCTGTCCTGGTGAGCACCAAAGGTGGAATATTGCTGCCTCCTGGGGCCGAGAAAAAGCCGTCAGCCTTTCATCTGCTTACAGCGAGATGCACTCAGGTGGAGGAATGGGGGCTGAGCCTTCACGAGCGGCTGAGCCTCCCCAAGGGCCAGGCCCTGCTCCCCCCTGCTCCCTCCCTGCTCCCAGATGCACAGGCACGTCCCAGGGACTCACCAGCCCCTTCTGGCATGTTGATTCAACTCATTCGTCCTGCAGAAAGTTAGTCCCACCAGCAGCACCCTCCTGTAGCACTGTGCAGTCACCAGCCCAGGGAAGAGCAACGTAAAGAAGCCATCTGTAGGCACCGTGCCCCCCACACCAGCACCAGGACCACGACAGACGTTGTGGCAGCACAGGGGCTCTCCCCGCAGCTTAGCTCAGCGCTAGGAAATCAGCTCCCACCTGCCACGCTCTGAAGATGCCTCTCCTATCGGCGACTGCTGGTTGACTTCTGTTCTCGTCTCAGCCACTGGCACCGGGACGTGGAACACATACATTTGTCTCTGTTAAATTTTCCACAGCTGCCCAAGTGCCTAATGAGTAAAAAATTTGTTTCTCAAAGTGCCTTTGGCACTTTGGATGGCTTTTAATGGCAGTTACACTCCTTGGCCACGCTGAGAAAGTTCTCCTTCTGTTCAGTTTTATGCAATCCTTCCCATCCAATTTCCTCCTCAAACAATACCCTGATTCCTCCCTCTCCCAAAAACATTTTCCCGAGGCAATGGGATTTCCATCCTACTGTTTTTATCAACTGTGTGCAGCTTTTCTGGACCAACAACTGACCCCTCAACGCTCCTGCTTTGGGCTGCAAGAGGTCAGCCGAGTCAGTCTGCAACCTACCACACGGTAAGCTTAGGAGGCAAAGGGAAAAAAAAAAAAAAAATCTACTTCCAACTACCATGGCCCACAGACAGCAACCACTGCCCATCAGCACTTCAGCAAGCGTGAGACTTGTAGGAAAATGCCAAAAGCCAAATCTAGAGTGCCAGAGAAAGAAGACAGAGCATGTCCCCAGTAGAAATGGCATGCAACAGCTCTTTTTTCTTTAAATAAAACTCCAAGGTGAAGAGAAAGGGCAAACTGCACTCCCTCACTGCAAGAGGCCAAGAATCCCACCCAAGCAGGAGTTTTCATGGGGGATGTTCCTTCCCAACGCACTCGTCCTATTAATCTTGAATGTGTTAAGCAAGACAGGTGCCAGTAGTGCAGGGCTCTGGCATTGCCTCTCCAGGGAATCAGTTCAGCATTTAGGAGAAGGTGGCTACAAAGGCTCTCCAATTCTGCAGATAAGCCAGAAAGCTCTACAGAAAGGGGTTGCACAATGTAACAACAGCGTAAAAAATAATTTGGTCTCCTTCCAGTCCTTCTGCCACCTCGTAGCAGGCTCGCAACGTGGCTGTTGGGAGGACGGTGGGCGCCGTGGGCTGCAAACAGCAGGCACAGTTTGCCAACTGCTGCTCCAGCCCACGTCTCCGCATGGTCCAAAGCCCCACGTCCACCCCGCATGCGGCTGCGTCAGCGCAGCCACCGCCCTCCCTGCTCACCCCGGCCACCAGCAGATGTAAGCTCCCATCTCTGCTTCCACTCAGGCTTCCATTTGCTGCTAACAGGTTTGTAAGATCCTAGCTGTGAAGAGATTAGCAGGGAGGAGGAAAAAAAAAAAAAACACACCACCACCAACAAAAAACAGATCTCAAGGCAGCTTAACGCACAGAGAGAGCTCGAGGTTAAATGGAGCATCTGAGCACGAGCTGGAAAAGGGAGCTGCGTGCTGGGCTCCTCCAAAAGCCAGCCACCAGCTTCGCCAGCGCCCGCCCTCTCTCTGGAGCCAGCGCTTTGAACATGCATTAAGCGGCTATCAGATGTCCCCAACAGCCACCCCAATCAGGCTGCAGGCAGGGATAATTGCTAATGAATGTTCCCTACACTTTGTTTTCGCCGTCCCTCATCTCCCATCACCAGCTTGTCAAGGCCAGAAATAGCAGCAGGCCTGCCTTGCCTCCCCACTCCACAGCCCACAGCAAAGAGCAAAGGAGGAGCTCAGAGGCAGCGCGAGATGAACCCATCCTCTCTGACACTCTGAGAAAAATCCCTATTTCCCTGCAATTTCTCCCCCAGCGATCTGTTAAGGTGACAATTTTTTCCCCTAATTTTCCCCAGCTGGATGTGGGTGCCATGCCAGGCTGCCCAGACCCCGCTGGATGTTTTTCATCCCAGAGGACATCCCTGCTTTCCTCCCATTTCTCCCTTGCTGCCTGTGCCTCCCAGAGCTCCCGGGACGGGCACTGTTTCTTTGGGAACCCGCAGGAGCGCTGCCCTCGGGCCAGCCCGCTCGCCCCCTCCATTTCTTCACCCCTCTCCCTAAATCTGCATTCGCTCGATCCCAAGCGCCTCGACCAGAAGGCAAGGGGATTGCAGCAACCGAAGGAAAACGTGCCAGGGGAGCGGAGCCGTCGCT